ACCATCCATCACAAAGCCATCAGGCTGTTGCATATAGATTTCCTCCTTTAGCTCTCCGTTCAGGAAAGCTGTCTTAACATCCATCTGATGAATGAGAAGACCATGTGAGGCCGCCAACGAGAGTAATACTCGAATGGTGGTCAGTCTGGCCACAGGTGAATAGGTGTCGAAGAAATCTTTTTCTTCTTTCTGGGCATAGCCCTTGGCCACAAGCCTAGCCTTGTACTTTTCTATCGTACCATCGGGCCTAAGATTCTTCTTGAACACCCACTTGCATCCCAATGGTTTGCAACCATAAGGACATTCAGTAAGCTCCCAAGTCCCGTTAGCCATGATGGAATCCATCTCGCTACGGACCGCATCCTTCCAGTAGTCAGCTTCTGGAGATGCATACGCTTCTGAAATAGAAGTGGGATTATCCTCCATGAGGTATATGAAGAAATCATCACCAAAGGTCTTTACAGTCCTTTTTCTCTTGCCCCTACCAAGGGATTCCTCATTATCCTCCTCAGGATTTTCATCATGTGTTTGGTTATAATATTCCCTTGGAATGGCAGGTTCAGGAGTCTCCTCAGATTCCTGTCTAGAAGTGCTTTGTACATCTCTCATGGGGAAAATGTCCTCAAAGAATGTAGCATCTTTAGACTCCATAATTGTACCGACCTTCATGTCAGGTACCTCAGATTTCACTACTAGAAATCTATAGCCAACACTATTCATAGCATAGCCCAAATTAACACAGTCCACAGTCTTTGGTCCAAGCTTACGCTTTTTGGGGATCGGCACATTAACTTTCGCCAAGCATCCCCAGGTACGTAAGTACGAGAGTTTTGTCCTTCTCTTGGTCCACTTCTCGTAAGGAGTGATCTCGTTATCCTTTGTCGGAACTTTATTCAGGACATGACAGGATGTCATTATAGCCCCCCCCACCATGCCTTGGATAAACCCCGACGTATCTAACACGGCGTTAACCAAATCAGTTAGAGTACGGTTTTTCCGCTCGGCAACCCCGTTTGACTGGGGTGAGTAGGGAGGCGTCTTCTCGTGAATAATGACGTGTTCCGCACAAAAGGCATCAAACTCTTTCGAGAAGTACTCTCCACCACGATCTGACCGGACTCGTTTAATTTTCTTTCCAAGTTGATTCTCAACTTCTGCCTTATAGATTTTGAAGTAGTGTAGAGCCTCATCTTTAGTATTTAACAGATACACATAGCAATATCTAGTGGAATCATCTATCAAAGTCATGAAATATTTCTTTCCACCTTTAGTCAACACACCATTCATCTCACAAAGATCAGAATGTATGAGTTCCAGTGGCGCCAAGTGTCTCTCCTCTGCTGCCTTGTGAGGCTTGCGAGGTTGCTTAGATTGCACACACGAATGGCACTTAGAACCTTTGGCTAAAGTGAAACTCGGGATTAAATTTGATTTTGCTAGCCGCGTCATAACACCGAAATTAATGTGACAAAGACGTGAATGCCAGACTTCAGATTCATTAACACTCAAATGAATATTGTTCACGACTTTATTACATAGATCTGCAAGAGAAAGGCGGAACATGCCTCCGCATTCATAACCCTTTCCAACAAATAGTCCATATTTCGTAACAACTAATTTATTAGACTCGAATACCAACCTAAACCCTTCTCTACATAGAAGGGAGCCACTAACGAGGTTCTTCTTGATGGCGGGGACATGCTGCATGTTCTTCAGCTGCACGATCCTTCCCGAAGTAAACTTCAGATCGACCGTGCCAACACCAAGAACAGAAGCACTCGCGCCATTCCCCATCAGTACGGACCCGTGACCTGTGGCCTGGTAAGAAGAAAACAATGAAATGTTAGCACACACATGAACACTTGCACCTGTGTCGACCCACCAATCGGTGGACGGCCAAACTAAAAATACAGTAAATAAATTACCGTACCCAGATGCACCACTCTCATTGTTGCTCACAATCATATTGACAGACTTGGAGTCCCGCCCTTGCTTCTTATACTTGTTTGGGCACTTCTTGGCCCAATGTTCAAGCGAACCACAAGTAAAGCAGCCCTCATCCTTCTTATTCCTCTTGAAGGTCTTCTTACCCTTCTTCTTAAAGTCGGCACTCTGTTGGACACCGTTCTTTCCCTTGGACTTGTGGGAATTGGAGTTCTTCTGATGCACCATATTGGCCACAGAAGTTCCTTCTACCCCTTTTCCGTGCGAGTCCTTTGCCCTTGAATTCTGCTCAACACTCAGATGGCCTATGACATCCTCCACAGAGAATTCACGCCTCTAATGTTTCAGAGTGGTGGCAAAGTTCCTCAAGAAATTGGGAATCTTAGCGATTATGCAGCCCGCGATAAACTTGCCTGGTAACTCGCACTTAAGAAGCTCAAGCTCCTTAACAATGCATATTATCTCATGAGCCTGCTCCAATACAGGACGGTTTTCAACCATCTTGTAATCGTGGAACTGCTCTATAATATACATCTCGCTCCCTGCATCGGCAGCCCCGAACTTAGATTCGAGCGCCTCCCATAAGTCCTTGGCAGACCGCACATGCAAATATGCGTCAACCAGCTTATCTCCAATCACGCTCAGAACTGCCCCGAGGAACACGACAGTGGCCTCCTTGAACGCCTTCTCCTATTCAGGAGCGATCGTTCCTGTGGGAGTCACACCGACGACCCAGAACGCGTTCATGGACGTGAGCCATAAGGTGGTTTTAGTCTGCCAACGCTTAAAGTACGTCCCCGTAAACGGGGACGGTTTCAGTGCAGCAGCAAAACCAGAATTCGAAAAACTACTACGATTAGGTTTTTGGATTGATAAGAAAATAGGCAGTTTTTTCAATTAAATTAATCCATGAATAAATCATGAGCATGACATGGACAGTATTGATAACACACTGATTACGATCTAACAGAGCATGTACTAGGCATATAGTAGAAACATCTACGCATATCGCTAGTACTGCTACAACAGAAAGAAACATGAGAAGGATAAACGATGTATACCCTCCAATCGGCCACACGGCGGTGGTGGCGGTGGCAGCAGCCACGGCATCCTCGGCGGCCTTCTTGTCGGCCTCGGCCTTCTCAGCGGCAGCACGGTCGGCGTCGGTCGACATGGTGACGATGAAGGTGATGCGGACGTAGATGAACAGAAGCGAGCAGTCGCGTAATCGCTACTCAAAAACCTAATCGCCCCTCTCCCGTACAGGGTCCGGAGAAGCGGGGTTTCGGAGGCCTGTTCTCCCGTCAACCGTGTACACGGTGTACGGGACGGAGTCGCCGGCGGCAGCAGCAGCAGAGGAACGACGTGGGCGTGGAGGCGGAGATGCGTTCTGTTTCATGGCGGCTAGGGTTGGCAGTGTCCCACATATATATGTGCGGCCGCACGTGGAGAGACGTGGGCTGAACCCACGTCCAAGTCGGTAGCCCCACGATCCGACGTCTCAGATCGTGGCCCTACCTGTCAAAGACTCTCCGTTCCTGACCGGCAAAAAGAAGCGCATAGGAGTGAGCTCGGCTCGGCTCAATCCCGCAACCCACGGCACGGCGTGGCGCGTCGAGCGGAGGAGGAGTGCGCGAGGGCCTCATCTCTTCTCAAGCTCCAATAGCATAAGGGAGAGGATCCCTTATAAACCACTTCAACTCTCCTTCCACTTTCGGGGTGGGACTAAATTTCCCACCACCTTGTCATGCCACCTACATGGGCCCTTAGAGATCAAATCTGAAATTGTCATATGGGCTCTAGGCCCATCTCATATTTCAACACAAACTGGGTGTGGTTTGGTCATCAAATGACCAGTTAAACTTTGTTGCACAAGAAGTATCTGGGCCGAAAAACGATATCCCAGACATATTAGAAGCCCGTGGATTCATGGGATGGTTTGATTATGATAAAGAAAAACATTTGTTTTGTTTGGATCTTTCATGAAAAAAGACGGCTTGAAAGATACTCTTTTGAGAGGATAAGTAGTTAGGACATATCACTCTCCCGGAATAGTCTCCAACCTTATACCATATTGTACGTGATAAGAAGGATATTTTTGCACATGTGCTCAGCTTCCCCGCCAATGTATTACTTCCACATAATTTGATCGGCCCCGTCTTATGCCATGACAACATCTGTTATCCCATTTGGATTTGATTAACATGACATAGGATCAGATATGTTTCGTTGAAATCCAATTGCATCTAGATCCTTTACATTCAACTCTATTTTATGTACATTTTGAAAGAAGTCAAAATTTCAAAAATTATGAGATGAGCATACTAAAATATCGGTTGCATACACCGACTGGTTCACACAAAAGACCTTAAGCCGTTAAGGAAATTATTGTCGATATATTTCAACACTAAATATGCCTTTGTAGGACGTTTAAAGACTTGTGTCAAGCCTCTAAAAAGTCTTATGTTTATGAACAGAAATATTTTAGAATCAGATTTTTTTTGTAAAACAATGTGCCATTTATGAGACGTCGAAAATAGAAAAAAAGGTATAGCGCAACGTGAATAGCGTGGAAATCCATTTTTATGGTTTTTCCACACATAACGCAAATGATCCTTATTTTTAACAACAGTTTACAAGGTTTACTCTTATCCTTTTTTTCTTTTTTTGAGGGAAGGTCGTCATGGTTATTAAATTAAAAGACATTTACATCGTCAACGAGCTTACCGACCGCAAAGTCAGGTGGCTCGTCTAACCAATTTAAAGTAGACTTATTACAATAACTTTAGTTAGCTAGTACATGAGCTGCTTGATTACAAGAACGAAAATAATGCTTAAATATGACCTTTCCAATTATAGTGCTTATATCCACGCACTCTGCAAATAATGTTGCGGCTGTATGACCAGTACAAAAGTTGATTACTTGGAGAGAATCTGACTCCACTTCAATTCGGTTGAATCCCAAAGAATTGACAAATGATAGTCCATCTCTCATAACTATCGTCTCCGTGGTAATTGCATCAGCTGCCACCGAGATGAATTTACATTGCGCGGCGATGAAGTTTCCCCTATCATCTCTGAGAATGGCAGCCGTCGCACCACTGCCATCATCTGCAAAGAAAGATGCATCAACGTTTAACTCTGTATCCCCTACTTCTACGTTCTCTGATTCTTTTAATCAAAAGTTTTTTTTTCTGAAACAAGGGTTTCAAAAGTCCGGTACAAACTAAATAAATCCGGTGCACATCGTGCCCGTACATTGTTCATCTGACGGTCGGGTAGGAAGATAGGTATCCTCTGCCCGGCTATCCCCTCCTCCCCGGTTTCAATCCTGTCTCTGAAGACTCCTCCCAAATTCTCAACTGCTGCCGCTGCCGCCGCTGCTTCTTCCTCCTACTCTCGGCGACTCGTCTCCACAATTCATCCCCCCTCTTCGTCGTCGGCGGCGGCGGGGACGACGGGGCACAGCCGAGAACCCAGGCTGCCAGGACCAGCGGCAACTCCAAGCTTGCTTCTTGGTAAGGGAAGGAACCCTAGCTTGCTTCGCCGATTGATTGATTCGATTCGATTCACCGGACAGTTCCTTTGTTCGTCTCATCCTTCGCTCAGTTCATAATTCGATTCGATTCGAGTAGGTGCTTCTTCTTCTTCTTCTGCTTCAGCGCAGCGCGAGATCCGTCGGAGCCGAGCCGAGCTGAGCTGACCCCATTGGACTGAACTTTAGGGGGCGTAATGGACAACACCCAATTCGCCATGGTAATTCCTGCTTACACGAGCTGCGCAAAGGAATCTAATTCTGTTTCTAACCTTCTGTGTGTGATAGAGTGTCCTTACCTGCCTCTGTTTTTCTGCTTCTGGTGGAGCAGATTGAGGAGCTGGCCTCGCTCATCAAGGACAACCTCTACAGCAAGCACCTCGTCCTCTCCACCGAGGAGATCCTCGTCACCCTCCTACAGCACAGCTACCTCGATGACGACGATGGACACGACCGCGCCACAACTGAAACAAGTCGCGGGGCAGCTGGGAATACCATAGAGCTCCAGCCCACCAGCTCCTACAATCGCCTCCTTTTGCATCGTCTCGCCGACATATATGGGTATAAAAAACCTCCCTGATGCATTCATCTCCGTCCGCTTCACTGTGCTGACATGCTAAAGTCACTGCGGCGACCACTCCGTTTGCTAATTTTATCTGCTTCTGTGTCGCTGCTAGGTTTGCTCACGAATCTGTTGGCGAGGGTGAGGATCGGCATTTGGTTCTCCAGCGCTGCCCTGAGACAGCCATGTATGTCGTCAACCTCCCTTATTGAAACCTTTCTTGTCTGGCTCGATTCAGCAACGTCGTACATGTCTACACCATGCCAAAAATGTGCTAGTGTGTTTCAAGCAGGGTGTCTCACTACCAGTGCCAATGTTCTCTTTTTCCCTGCTATATATTTAACTCGCCACACATAGGTCGGTGGTTGGCTAAATTCAGAGCTGTTATTATGCTTGCCCTGTTTTGAATTTAGTTATGCTATATGTTTCAGCCCTCCCGTCCTTGTCAGCGATGTGTTGTGGAATTATGACGACGGTGATGGTCCTTCAGCCTCTCTCATGCTAGCGAGAAATGAGACAGGTGAATGAATCATTCTTGATGCGTTTATTTGCTGTATCATGTAGTGATTAGGCAGATGCTTGTTTGGAACAAAGAGTTTGAGGCTACTTCTTGAGAAGAAAAGCGGGATTTACTTAGGAAATAAAGAGTGTCCAGTCCTTTGCTATGGTCAAATAGTCAAATTTATTCGTAGTGTTACCTTCAGAAACTCTAAACACATCATTAGCAAAAAGAGTTTCCCTACATGTATGAATATGATCTCTCATCTCACGCAACCCTCTGTTTTACAAGTTTATGCTTACTGCGTCTGAATTTGTGAAGATATTCGACGGTAGGACTGAGCAATGCAAAGCTTCTAGCAGTCCCAGTTTATTTTTCAGCTCTTGCACAGTGTAGCTTGTAACCTGGATTTAGCTATTTTTGGTTCAGCCCTTCTGCTGGCCACTAGCTTTACATAACTTGTTTTCCTTCATTAAATAACTAGGCAGACCTCATGCATGCCTGTTTGAAATACTAGCTTGCAGTAATTACTAATTAATACCATCTTCTTTCAGATCTTCAGAAAATTTATGAGCCAGAAAATGTCCAAGACGCTATTTCTCTTGAAAGCTTGCATCTGAAAACTGATACACCAGTTTCGAAGCCATTGCCGCAGTTGGTGCCACCTTCAGCAGCATCGCTTAAGGAGAGGGAAGCTGCTTATCGGGCTGCTCGTGAGCGAATCTTCTCTTCACATGAAGCCAAGGGAAACGACACATCAGCAGCAAAATCTAGGCATGTTCCTGCTGTTGCTCAACGGATGATCGCACACGCACTTGGTAAGAGAGTTGAAGATCCAACAGAGAGAGCTGCCTTGGAGAAAATCAAAGGGAAGGAACTGGTAAATGGACGAACTAGTCCCACGAGTAAAGAAGCAGGGAAACACAACTCAAGCTCATCTGGTGGTGGTCCGTGTCGGAACCCATCTGCTCGAAGCCGTCCTACACCTACTGTTAGCGCCGAGACGCTCAAGAAAGAACAGACTGGAGCGGCTAAAAGGATGTTTGCACATGCGTTGCGGCTCCCTGGTGTTGAGATGCCCAATGGCGCGGCCCGAAAACCCAAGTAAGAAGAGCTGGAGATGAATGAAATTCCGAGAATGCATGGGCTGGGGCTGCCTTGACTGCCGTGCCCCGTGCGATGGAGCTGGAAGCCCTTGCTGTGCCAGCCTGCTCTTATCTTATGGAGTGGCACTTGTGATGGATGTTAGAAGCAGATGAAAGGATTGGCTGTTCAAATCAGCCGGTGTGAGACAATGCGCCGTAACCTTTATTTTGCCTCCCTTGACTCGAGTTGAGTCGAAGAAAAACCTGAGGGCACACGGTGAGAAGGCTGAATCCAAAGTGGCCGTTCCCTGTTAGAATTAGAATTGTGCTAGCAAGTAGTGGTGTTGGATGTTTGCCAACAGAAAGAAATGTTCTTGTTAGCGCCTACCCCAGTCCAGTGAGTGTTTTTGGCTCTCCAACCTGCTGTATCGTTCTTAGCTTATATACTACCCTCTCTTTGCAGAGGGAGTACCACTTTGGTGTATCTTACTATCTTAGTTTGGTTTTGAAGGGCTTAGTTCCCAAACAATGTTTTATAGTTGATGCATGAAATTCGTTCTTTTTTCGAGAAAAAGCACATTGAAAAGAGAGTTTTGGTTACATTCCTCCTAAGAGGTAGTCCCTCTGTTCCCATAGAACAGCTGTACATTATGGGACGGGGTAGGTTACAAGCATGGAACAAAGACTAATGCAAATCACAGGTCGTCAGTAGAACAGCTGTACGCCCATAGCCTGGCCTCATTTTTGATTCTACAGTTGCACATGCAGTCATTTCGGTGCTTCCAAGCGTCGCGGAGGCAACGCATCAACTTGGTTGCCTTCATCCAACAGAGATCCAAACCGGTGAGCCAATGGAAGAACTTCACTCCTGGCGTAGCCAAGCTCTTCCATATGAGCTTCCAGGTGCTGCAGATGGCATGGGTTCGCGTTATGAAAACGCCATTCAATCTGTACTAACTTTTTCTTAAAACAAAAATTGTACTAGCTTCAATTTACCTCTGTGATTGCTAATAAGATAAAAACATGTAGTAAGTTGATCAAAATAAATCTTAGCTGCTAATGATTTTTTGTCTAAAAGGACTACCTGCCTAACGGTATTGACAAAAAAAACCACCTTTGAGATGAATTGCCAAAACAGACCAGTCTAGACGTGGCGGCAGGCGCGCCAGCCGACACGTGGCGCCTGCCGCCACATGCGGAGGCGGCAGCCCCTGCCGCCATGATGTGAGGCGGCCGGTGGCCGATTACAGGAAAATTACAACCCAACGAGCCGTGACGGAAACAGGGGCAGGGCAGGCTGGCCCTGCCGCCATGCAGTCAGGCGGCATGCACTACTGCCGTGCGCGAGCCAAGTCACTTTACTCATCAAAATAGACAACGATGGCAAAGTTGCGTGGATACATGCATGCATCAGGATTCGTTCTCTACTGAGCAAGTGATCCATTCATCAGGACATACATGCATCAGCAATGGCCCAAAACAGGGTACAGGTGGCCCGGCTCCCGTGCAGCTGCACCATCAGCGCATGCCGCCTAGATGCATGGCGGCAGGGCCCACTTGCCCTGCCCCCGTTCCGTCGTGGCTCGCCGGGTTGTAATTTTCATGTAATCGGCCACCGTCCGCCTCACATCATGGCGGCAAGGCTGCCGCCTTCGCATGTGGCGGCAGGCGCCACGCGTCAACTGCCACGCCTGCCGTCACGGCTAGGCTGATCTGTTTTGTCAATTCGTCTGGGAGATGGTTTTTTTTATCAATACCGTTAGGTAGGTAGTTTTTTTGGACAAAAAACCAGCTGCTAATCACCTCCCATTTTACTTCGAGAACTCAAAACAACATTCTTAAAAAAGGAATTCATCTTTGTGGTGTTTGGTGGTGCTTTTCTCTTCATAGCTGCTAAATTACAAGTCTTTGAATTAGGGCAGGTTCTTTTGGGGCTTATTCTAAAAGCCTAACCTAAAATTTTATTTTAGAAGCGTCTCTTGTATCCGGCGGTGCATCTAGCATCGTTGGTGAGCATGTGGAGGTGTGTCTCCGGCGGATCTATCTTTGGTGGATTTGCTCGGATTTCGTCGTTGTTCGTCTATGTTCGTTTGTCTTCGGTTTGAATCCTTCCAACCTACGTTACTCTTCATCGGCGGCGGTTGCTGTTCTGATAGATTGGAAGTTTTTCCGAAAAAAGAAGCGTCTCTTGTATTGTTTGACTAAGTCTTTGTGGCAAAGTAACTTTTGTAGTGGATTCATTTCTTCAAGACCCGTCGAGTATTCTAGAAAAAAAAATCTTAAGGAATTTCTTGACATTTAAAATGGACACACTTGATTTGCGAATGTAGCATGTCTGGCTCACTGTATGACTGACAAAAATATAATATGACCGCATCCATGAACGTCTATACGTGGTGGTCCGATGGCCTGCCTGCCTCCACAGCCGTCCTCGACGCCGTGCTCCACTCCCTGGCATTCTCAAGCATTGAGCCAGGGTCAGGCCCGAACACGGCGCCCTTTATGCTGTCGCGTATAGCGTCCCTACGCAAGGGCGCATGGATGCATACACCTGTCTTGAACTCATCCACCAGATAAGAAAAAAATATGTTATTTTTTGTTATGTTAGCAAATTGTGATTGTCATTTAATATGGGCACCGGATTAGCGATTTGTTTAGCGATTTGTTATTGAGGAAAATCAGATTTCGTTTTGAAAGGTTATATAAAAAAAATCTTATGTCTGTCTTTTAGAGAGGTGATCTCACATATATGGTGCGGATATCTGAATTCTTGATTACTTATTATATACTTGATTGAATTGAATCAAAACTTACCAAAGCAAACACGAAACAAGATCTCCATCTTTAATGGGATTTGGTTTTTAATGGGAGGGAGGGTGGTGGGTGGTGATGCGAAAATAAACCAGAGGAAATATATGGTGGTAGGTGAGGCGGAAAAAAACTGCGGAAGGGAAGCTACCAACTCCCTTTTACGAGTAGAGATTTATGTAGAATATATTAAAAATTAATGCAAAATATACAGAATCTTAATGTTTTAATACCAGATCATTCACTAAATCAAATCAACTAATGCTACAAATAGTGCTGACGATGTGTATATATACTTGCACTCGTAAAGAAATATCTCCCCACGAAGAGAGAGAGAGAGAGAAGCACACACTTTCTATGAGTATGTCAAAGATCATTCTCCTCCTCCTCCTCCTGGCACCCCTTCGCATGGCCGCCGCAAGCCCGGATTGTGCCCCCGGCCGGGAGCCGGGCATGGAGGCGTCTTTTGCCTGTAGCCAGATGTGGCTGTTGAAGGCCGAACAAGATCTCTGCGTCCGCATCATGGCCTGGGGCGGCGTCGACATGTCCGTGTCGCACAAGGAGGAGGAAACCGGGTACGTGAGCCTTGCTGCGTGGTTCGCCGTGGAATCCTTTGAAGTCACGCGGATCGCCGCGAGGAACCATCTCAACCATAACACATCGCTCTCCGGAGAGGAGAGGCGCGCCTACGAGGGGTGCATGAAGGACTACGCGCTAGCGGGCAGCTCCATCACCCGCGTCGCCGACGAGATGCTACCCAGCTGCCGCTTCACGGGCCTCAGCGGCGAGTACAACCGTGCGCTAAATAGCATAGTTAGTTGTATGAATCGGCTGTCGGCGCTGGCTCGGGTGAACACGCCGTTGTACCCCATGGTGTTGGCCGACCAGGACAAAGCAGTGCTGGCGTACCATCTTGCTACTTTGATTGGTGTAGTGTGATAGAGCAAACAATAAAATAGACATTGGGTGCACCGCTACATAGCTTTACATGTGTGATGTGTTGCCATAGTTGGATCCATGATTGGTGCCAGGTTAGGCTAATCTATCTAGCTACTTTCTCTGTCCGAAAATACTTGTCATCAAAATGGATAGAAAAAAGACGTATCTAGAATTAAAATACATTTAGATACATTCTTTTTTATTCATTTTGATGACAAGTATTTCCGGACGAAGGGAGTATTAAGTTAGTAAGTTTCCTCAAATTTCGAGGCTACTGATGTGTCATAGTGTTAAGGCATTCCGACGGCAACCCGCAAAAATTCTCCCGCATACGTCCGCGGACAGGGCACCAGTTCACGCACATGGATGCCGGAGGCAGCCATCCAACCATAGCCGCATACATTTTCACAACAACTCGAATCAACTGGATGAAATTCGTGCAAACAAGGCCGGAATTCATACAAACATAACAAATTTCATATGAAAATGCCGGATTTTCATATAAACACGACGGATTTCATTACATTTACATCAAAGCGGTCCTAGTCGAGCTCTGGAGTATAAATAATACCTAATCTAAATCGACGCCCACGGATCCCTTTGTCTTCCTCATGTCCGGCAGTCCGATCACCGACTGCTAGGAGCCCCAGAGGTATGTGCTTCATCATAAAGGGTGACTCGCTTCCCCACCACTCATCGGGGTGGAACCCCCGGCTGATGCTTCAGCGGGAGGGTAAGGCGGCGTCTTCGCTTTCGTGAAGCCCATGTGGGATCAACGGAGGTCCTCGCAAGAGAAGAACCGAGCAAGACATCTTCTGTGTACGCCAACGTCGCCTAGGCGGTGGCCTTCATGGGACCCAAGTGGTGGCGGACTCCCATGTTCTACTTCTCCTTGCTGATGGCGGCGGACGCGGAGGCGGCGGCCACCAACTCTTCGCTCTCCGCGCACCCGGCTTTTGTCTCTGCCTGCATGGCGCGGTCGCTGGTACGGGCGGCACAAAGTTGTCAACGGTAGCGATGACGCCAGTGCCGTCGTGCTCCCGTTGTGTCGACGTGAAGCAACTTTCCACTCCTCATAGGGTGGGCCTGGAGCGGCGAGTTGCTAAACCAAGCAGCGGCTTGGGGCGGCAACTTGCTCCGTCAGGTCAAGAGCGGAGGTGGAGCAGCGAGCTGCCTCGCTCGTATCCGGCGGGCTCGGCAGGCCACCCAGCCGGCTTGTATGCAGGAGAACTGCTCTTCGAAAGCCATCGAAAAAACGATGAAGGAGGAGATGGGG